GGGGGGGGACAAATGCAAATTGTCCTTCCATTCAATTTGATGAAATATTTTCAAGATTTTTTATTTGCACAAACAAATTTAGAATTGCATAATTTGAATATAAGAGCTTTACAACATAATTGTTTCTATATTTTCTTCATTTCCAAAATGTTCATTCTAAAATGCAGCTGAAATTCATTAGTTTATGATTGTGTTTTAAATTTTGAAATGTATTATGCCAAAAACCTCTCCAGAAGGAAGAACTCTATACATTAAATTTAACCTTCAGATTTTGCAAGCTTTGCTCCAGAACACCTGTTAAGTCCATGACACATTTCTTTATTTGAAAGTCGAGTCTGAATGGATAGAATTTTTAGTATGTGAAGCAAAAAAGGTTAAAAGCTAAATTCTTTTAATTCTATTAATTCATCAAAGCATCCTTTTAAAACATTTCTTGGCATTTTAAGTCCTCTACTTAATTTGAGGCAAATTTCTATGAAGTATAACTGGTCAGTTTAAAATCATAGCTTGCATTTTCACTATGTCTTATGTTGCCTTCAAGTGTGTCTTACATTAAGATACACCTCTTATTATTCCATGTCATCTTAAGGAGGCTTGGTGAAATGTTGACTTGACATGGATTTAGTTTGTTTTGCTAGTGAAAAGTTGTAAATTTTAAAATTTCATGTAAATATCTGTAACAAATATTATATTGTGACATATACATGTTTCTAATTTAAAAAAAAAAAAATTTTAAACCTGAGTTGGCCTGAAAAAAAAATGAAGGATTATCTTGAAGTCTTCAGTCATTTATACTTTATCCAAAAATGCAACTTTTCTTTTTTTTTATTGTGATTGACTTAAAATTAGACTTGAGATTATAACAGTTATTAACATATGGTATCATAGCCTAATAATTGCTAGGGCTAACATACAGCTCTTGTGGTTGCAGCCAAATGGTAAAACGTGTCTTAATTCTCACTTTATTTTGCCAACTTAAGCAACACATGGATAGCATAACTTTCAACATAAAATTAACAACAAAGGAATTGAGTTGTCAGTATGGTGCAAGGAATTATCTTTGGAATACAAAGCTATAACTTCATCCCTTAAGACATTTTTAAATATAAGAGTGAAATGGCAACACAACAAAATATAAACTCTCTAAAAAAAAGTGAACATTTTTACAAAAAGATCAAATGAAGGGGGAATCATCCCAAAATTTTTTTTAAGTAGGACAAAATTCAGAGCAATTAAAAATAGCAATTGGAATATAATACTTTACCTCTTAAAGCATTTGTGCATAATTTTATATCAACGGTTCTATAAATATATTAAAATTTCTCATAATCAATTAGGACACATTTTTTTTCCTTTATCACTCAATTAGAGCCTTCTTGCCTTGAGTTATGAGTGTCTTTAATCAACTCAGAACTTGCCTTGTTTTACCACATATTTTTGTATCCAGGTTCTGCCTGCCACGAGTGTTGTTATTAATTAAAGATCTTCCTCTTTCTACTCTTTTATATCATTAACTTGCCATAACCCACCAAAAAATGGTGGAGGCAATCTGTGAACTTCCCATCTGCTAAAATTACTTGCCAAAGCATGCATTCAAGTAACACATTTTATAAGAATCCCAATTACTCTACCCCCCAACCCCGAGATACGCCACCGCACACTTTTTTTCAAGCCCCTCAACTATATAAATATTATAATGTCCCACCACCTTTTACACCGCATATTTATTACATCATATTTAATTGATTGAGACTATTTCTATAAAAGAAAATACTACGCACCAACTGCACTTGCAGTATTTTTTAAGAATCTCATTTAGCGCTGTTATCCAGAATTTGTGTGTGCATGCTATTGAACTTACCATTACTTTATTTCGTGCCTAGAGAATTATATCGATTGTTTGTTTTATTTTTGTTGCTTTTTTTTTTGCTAAACAGCTTCAGTCTTATAACTGACCAATATCATTGAAACGCAAGTCTGAGATTTTTTTGCATCTATGCTATTGTTATATAATGTAGGCCAATTTTATCATGCACATCCACAAACATTTTTTTTTTTGGCCTGCATGTTGGCACTGATGCTTTTAACATTATACAATTGTTAATTTTATTCAAGTGTTATGATAGCTTTAATAATTTATAAAATTAAGGGAAGTGATTGCATTGTGGCAAATCCTACATGACAAATTCAGATTTGCTAACACTGCAGTTAGAACCTTAAAAAACTTATGATATTTTGTTTTACCTTATAGAAATGTTAAAGCCTTGAAGTTGATCTGCTTTCTGTGACAAAACTGTAATGATTGCTCTAGAGTTTCAAGAGACTATTGTTTAGTTATTGTTCAATCTTTATTTCTTTTGCATTGTAAATGTTGAGAGCATTATCTTGTTGATATCAACTCAAACACAACATTTTTCATATTAGTATTGTTATTAAATATTATTAATGAGATGTTTTCCTCCGTCCACTACTCGAGTATTAAAGCATCAATTTATTGCTCTCCCATCCAGTAAAAATACTTGCTGCTCTGTCCAACAGATAGGTTAAGAAAAACGTGTTCCTCTGTTCAATAGATACAAAAATATTAAGAAACAAGGTGGGTCGTTACTTTGAGCGGTAGTTTCCAAGCTAATCATTATTAATATATTTGTTTAGATGGATTATATTAAAGATGACATTTGACTTTATAGTTTTGTTTAGATGGATTATGTTAAAGATGACATTAGACCCTATAGTTTTGTTTAGGTCGATTATATTAAAGATGACATTTGCCTCTAAAGTTACATACACAATTTTATTTCATTTATTTTCAAACCAGGGCTGTAGATTTGCCATGGCCATACTCATACATTTTGTTTTGTATGTTGTTGTTTTCACTAAAAAAATTCATATTGACAGAAAAGTCATAGATTCTTATTCATAGTATTTGAGCACCATATTGAATTAGACGTCTTTGTGTAAGGTATTTTTGCAAAAAAAAAAAAAAAAAAAATTATTTTTTTTTTNCTTTACATCCCAAATAATGTTTAATTTATTTACAGTTATTTTTTGTATAATGTATGATTATAAAATAAATCATACAACTTTTGGAGACACCTTTCTTGTGTTTAGCTTTAATTTTTTTTATATTTTTTATTTTATTTATTCGGGAGACTACTTAAATCTATTTTTTTTTTTTTTTAAATATGATCTTATGAATTATGCATCCGCTGTTAATCAATTGACGCAAGATCACATTTCCATATAAGGCAAAAGGGTTAGTGAAGGAGGAAATCAACACACACACCGGGAATTGTAAAAATGTGTTGTCTTTGATATAAAAAGTAACAGATTTTGTGCCGGAATTCCCGATTTTTCATGTATTCTGAAACCATTTCATTGCATGGTAATGATTCAGAGGAAGTGAAGTGGTGTGCAAAAATATCTGGTAACTGCTTTAATTTTAACTAGCAACCGTGAATGCTGGTATGGTAGGAACATCTATCTTACATAGTATCATACACTGACGAATGGTCAAGAAATATGGAATTTTGTGGTAGTGGGCAAGAAACTAAAGTAACCGATTGTAAAAAATGCAGGAGCACATCAAACAACGTTCTGATTAAACATGTATGTAATTTATATTGTATGTTTACCGAGTGACTAGGGTAAAGATTTGTTTGTTTGTTGTTGTTTCACGAATAAAGTTGGACTGGATTTGCTGCGCAATGCGTTATTTATGATACAAGCGGAGAAGAAAAAAAAAACAGTATGAGCAACCAGTTTGGTCAAAACTTCTATTTTCCAAGGCAAATGATTTAAAGCTAAATGTCAAAGAAACATTGTAATGATTAAGTGACTACAGGTCTTGCATTTTACGTCTGTCAGACAAGTGGCACCACCAGGTCCAGAATTTTACGTCTGTCAGACAAGTGACTCCAGGTCCGGCATTTTATATCAGTCAGACAAGTGGCTCCAGGTCCGGCATTTTACGTCAGTCAGACAGAAGTTTTTTTTATCCCAATTCTGATTAACAATGAACATAAGAATGACATCAGAAACCAAATTTTTATGGAGATCTTTCAGCATTCAACAGGAGCTTCGGCAAAGTGTACCACCTCACACTGAGGCCCAACAGGTCCGACTGCTTTTAAGAAGATTGTTGATTACTTAGCTTGAACTGTAAACACATTTGGTTGCTATGGTTTCAGAAGCATTGTTGACTCACTGCCCGAGTCTTGTTCTGAGGGAACGTCCTTGCACTTGGGTGATGATGCTACCCTGTTAGCCCCAAAACGCACGCGCCCACAACTTTGTTCTGGATGGGAAAGGAATACAACGATTAGTCAGGCGATTGAACGCACCACCGCTGTCATGGGAACAAACTCAAACATCCTAAAGTCATGGCCGCCCTTGTATTCGTTAAACTTAGAAATGTTTACATGTTATTCATGCTACTTGTAGTTAGTGTCAAGCGTAATGATACAAATCTATATTATTATTTTTTTAAAAATATTCATAGTAAGTTAAAAGCTTCAGATTTCTTTTTAAAAAAATAATACGAAAGCGGTTAATGCACACAATAACTAAAATGTTTCCTATGTGCCTAGTATCACATGAATCCAGATGCGTAGCGAGGGTGTTTGGCGCCCGGGGACAAGATTCATTTTAAGGCGCCCCATTTTCTTTTTTTTTTTCAACTCTCAAACCCATTATTTTCATCAATAAAATAATATCAAAGCACATATTGGCGCCCCTAACTAGCTGGCGCCCGGGAACATCTGTCCCCCTGCCCCCACCTCGCTACGCCTCTGCATGAATCGCAACTGAGCATACCAGTCACAAAATATTTTTTTTCTGGTCAAGAAAGGTCAAGAAATAATTGAAAAAAAATTCACGTATTCAAATTGATTATGTTAAAATAAATTTTGTCACATCCCCCCCCTCCCCCCCCCCCCCCACTCCAACCCCAAAATTATTTTAAAAACTCCCATCCCAGACCAAACTCTCACCACATGACGTCATATATGCGACTCTTATGTAGACGTTTCCGCCAAACTCTCGATCTTTTTCAGAAATCTGACTCAAGATGGCGACACGCACAATGGTGCAGCAGACCTGTTTTAGACCAACCAATCACAGGACGAGGGGGTTTCGCGGAAATGCCAATACGGCATGTGACATGCGGAACAACCCTGGTAGGTCTTTCGGGGCACTTTTAAACATGCCGATGTTAAGTAAAAGCGACAGGTCTTCAAACTGGGCTGTACTTTACTGACCAGCGTGAAAACAAATTTAATATATGTCTACATATGATTGTGTTTGATGCTACATATGATTGTGTTTGACGCTACATATGATTGTGTTTGACGTTACATATGATTCTGTTTGACACTATATATGATTGTATTTGACGCTGCATATGATTGTGTTTGACACTACATATGATTCTGTTTTACGCTACATACGATTGCGTTTGACACGACATAAGATTATGTTTGACACGCCATAAGATTTTGTTTGACACTACATATGATTGCGCTTGACTCTACAAAAAATTGCGTTTGACAATACATATGATTGCGTTTGACACTTCATATGATTGTGTTTGACACTACATATGATTGTGTTTGACACTACATATGATAATATTAAAAGTCGACCCCCAGCATCTAACGTGAAATAATTTTTTTACTGCTTGGATTACGCTGCACCCACCAAACTCTTCAAAATAAGGAGGTCTCTAGGCTGTGGGTTTGAGAGTCTTATTTGAGGTCTCAACACACCTTCCAATCTCTTAACTGCCACTCAAAGTACTGCGAATATTTTCCCCATCGTTACCCTTTTGTGATCGTAAGATTTAAATCTTTAAAAATTTATGTTGCCTGCTTTTTTTAAAATGATAATTCATGTGAAGTTTTTTTAAAAGCAGTTAATGACTCTGTTATTCTATATTTATATTCTTAACAGTAAAGCAGGCCATGAATCACAATTATAGAGCGGCTCCAACACAGGGGCGCCCTCTCGGACACATGGACCATGGGGGTCCACCCAGACCCATGGGGGCTCAACACCCCTTCCATCAGAGGTTACGGGAAGAAGATCGCGCGGTGAACGTTCGATACGCCCCACAAAACATGCACCAAGGAAATACATGGGCCCCGCCCCCAAACCAGAGTTTCAATAATTCATGCAATATCGCAGCATCAAGACAGCACTGCCCGCGCGCGTCAGCCCCTAACCATTTTGGTCAAGGGTCACAAACTCAACATTCTAGAAATTTGAGATTCCAACAGAGGCCATTTGACGGATTTAACGAGTGCAATAGACACACAAAACCACAGCTACGACGTCAAACGGAACATGACAGAGCTATAAGAGCTGAGCCAATACAGAGATCTCAAGGGGAGGAAACGCGAATCCATTTGAGCGAAAATCCCCCAAAACGTCACTTCCGTCCATTGATTAGAGGCGACATGTTCAGCTCCGTATCCGGACAATCAGTTGTCAATAAAAGGTCAATTCAAAGATCCGGAAATGGCCGGGTGATAAATAATGTCAGCCCAAAAGTTTTAAATATCCAGCCTCAAGCGAGGTCAAAGCTATTCAAGTTCAAGGCCAGGCGACGATCTACGCAAACGCAAAATGCTGAAATAAATGGTTGCAGAAAATATATTTTGGGCCGACGAACTGCAATCAGAGGAACGTTTGCATCGCCTCGAATCAACACTCACGTCAACACACGTACCAACACTCACGTCAACACCCGTACCAATACTCACAACAACACTCGGAATATGACAGCAGGGAGATCTTTAACCGTGGACCACTTTGCAGAAGCGCATCCTACGTATTCTAATGGCATGAAGAGATTCAGATCGGTTCGACCAGGAAACATCAAGTCATGCTGGAAAGCCACCCCTGGGTTGTCTAGACTAACTTCCATGGCACCAAAGGATAGAGATTCGAAACCAAGGCCACGAGTTTTAGTAAAAATTAAAAATCTGCCCGGGAGCAACGCGTGTGCCATCTACGCGCAAGCAGAGACAACTCTGAATAATTTTAAAACGGATGCGCAAGGACAGATAACTGCGGCGAGATATTGTGTGAGAAAGGGGAAAGACTCTGTGATAAAAATGGTGCGTGAGAAAACATCACCTCTGGGTCTAAAACGCTGCCTTTCAAGTACTTCGATATCCTCAAACATTTCAACCAAAGAGGTTATTGGGTCACGCATCCCAGACACCACCATTTTGACAAGTTCCCAACCGCTGGAGATCAAAAGAAGGACATTTAAAATCATCACAAGAATCAGCTTCAAGATAAAACCAAAACGATTTTGCTGCAGGTCGCGAGTCATTCAGGCGTGCTGTCAAAATCCAAAATCAATAACGTCTCAGTTAAATGTAGCACCAGCAGACCTGATGTCATTTCCTGTTCCCGCGTCCATGGACTTGGTCGAGACATTGGCGCCGGTTCATTTACCAACTGAACGACCAGAAAACGAGCACACGACCGTTTTGGGGTCGTTGCTGTTACCCCTCTTTCGTGCATTAAACTTGCCAGAATCGAAATCTGTGCCCGGAACTCTTCGGTCTCCGTCAATACCCTCGCCATCCACAGTCGGTATCAATACGTTTCTTCATAGGGGAGATGTTTCTTCTACGGACCGCCCCAAGTTGACAAGCCTCGATCTGACCTACTTCGATGACGTCGACCTGACGCCGAATCAGAATGAGGCTCCCGCGTCTAAAAATTCACCGCAGCCAGCAATGGGGGTTTACCTCGATACGGCCTTCAACGAGTACACGAGTAACGATTCGTACAGCACTTGCACGTCCAGCGGTCACATGCCTTTAGGCGCGCGCGATGGAAGAGATAGCAACATTACGAGAGCCAGTAGTTACATCACAGGAGACGGTAAAACAGTGTAAGTCGTTTGCTCGCCGTCTGACCGCCAGGTACATCATCATTAATATTGCTGTCATCAATATCTTTGTTGTCTGACACTTAGTCAACTTTATCTGGAGGAAGTTCCACGATATCTATAAGACCATTGTCATCCTCTTCTTCATCATTTTATAAAAAACAAGGGGGGGGGGGGGGAATCCTAAAATAACCATAAATTTCACGAACAGCACCACTGTAAATACTAACATAAGTTTGTGCAAGGAAATAAAATTGCATGCTGCTAAGATTTAAGAATAAAAAAAAACTCTACAAATTGTATCGGCATCGGTAAATGTTTGTAAGAGGATAATAAAACCTAAGACTCTTACGTGACCAAGCAAACGATATACTATGTAGAAGAATAGCCTGCCACTGGTTACAAACATAACTTCTTAACTCTAGTACATAGTCGTTAATTTAAATCAAATACATTCAAACAAATTTATACAATTTCTGTACACGATTTTGCAAAGAGAAAATTCCCTATGGTTAGGCCCCAGAGATATGCCCTATATATAATTAACTTACCAAAGACGGGAGCTGTTTAAAAAAATCAAATACTTAAAGCAAAGTGTTCATATCACTCCAAATATTTATATTACAACAAAAAAGTAAGACTGAAATAGTGTCAGAAATCTACTGACGATTCAACTTCTCTTCCACAGACATGTCACCAATTACGTTCAAATAACTCGCAATTACACCGTGTCCGGGGAAAACGTGGTTTGTCACGGGACCATGAACATCACTGGTCAGGGTAACGGTGGGGAGTTGTCTGAGCTTGATTCGAATGCTGACGCTGACGCTCAAAGTGACGGTGATACATTCGACTGTGACTCGGCCACTGGCGGGACGCACTGTGTGCTGGGTGCTCAGTTTGAAGTGAATGTTACTGTACAAAGTGTTCATGAATCGGTTGGTAAATGTGATACAAATGGTCAGGACTCAAAGGGCGAAGGCCCAACAAATGTATTTGACTTAGAAAGTGAATGTCGAATATCTCTACATGACATAGAAAGTGACAGTTCTTTGCATGTTTATGACTCTGAGTGAGAAAGTGAATATCCAACAAATTTACATGACCCAGAGAGGGAATATCAAACAACTTTATATGACTCAGAAAGTGAATACCCAACAACTTTAAATGACTCAGAAATTGAATACCCAAAAAAGGTAAATGACTTGGTTGTAACATAGTTTTGAAGATGTTATAATGTGAATGTGACGCATCGGAAGTGACGTCACAGCTCATGACAACTAACTGTAAATTATTGTTGTCTCAAGCAGGGGTCACCAAACTTTTTTTCACGACGGGCCGGATAACGGACAAAAGAACGAGCGCGGACCTTATAATCATTCTGTACAATACTTGCAAGCCAGAACGAAAGCTCTGATAAAAAAAGACGAAAGACTAATTTATGTAGGCCCTATTCCATGTTAACAATGGGTGAGTATCGAGGAGTGCACAAATAAACAAAGACAATCAACATATTTATTTACAAAAAGAAATTATAAAAGAAAGCGACGTTAGCGAAAAGATGGTTACATCAGACCTGGTGCGCACATATTCGAACCTCACAAAATGTCTGCTCGCAGACATATGTTGTTTCAAACACTGATGCCATACCAGCGGCAAATTTCTTCAGTTTTTGGAAACTCAATATCCAAATTTACACCACAAATCAACACGAGAAGTTGTGACGTACTCGAGAGATCAGTAGACTCGCCCAGCGCCGGAGAATACCACAGCCAGTTCCTAGCTTTCTCGCGTATTTGTAGCACCATGTTCTCTCCAATCTCTTCTGATCTTCGCACAACTGAACTTGCCGAAAGAATGATTATTCTGGTAGTTTTTTTTTTTAATGATGTTATCATTTGTTGATTATTTCTTATTGAAATACATTTTGTTTTATGCTGATCTGACTCCGAGTTTTAACCCATGTTAAATTTCAACTGAAACTCTACTTGACAAGTGACAGACTGTGAGAGTGTGATCTGTATGTCCACTCAATACAAATTAATATATATAGCAAATACACGTCTGTATAAATAATAATGGCCGCAGATTGCAATATAAACGCCAGTGATCTATTACTTCTAGATGTTAACTTTTTTGACGCAAGCTTATCTCGATCCCAATAGGCACTGCGATGCGAATAGTTATTGTAAACATTATAATATATAGTATGATTATTAAGTGACTGTTCATATTCATATACCGTGCTGTACGATTTTGAGACGATATTGTAAGATTTTACGAGTTCGAGGGTAAACAGCTCTGCAATAAACAAGAAAATCTAGATACAATAATTTAAAATTGAAAATGGTAAATTTAGGACGCAAAAAGCCAGCAGGTCTCCGCACGTGTGAAGATCTCGTATTCTAACCACAATGTTTAGATTGTATCAGAGCGTCTCGTGTTCCATTCGTTTTATTAATCAAATTCCAGTACCGTCGGCGGGCCGGATGAACCGACGTCGTGGTCCGGATCCCTTAGTTTGGTGACCCATGGTTTAAAGTGATGACACAAAGGCCGACATTTAGAAGAAGAGGAATCCCCCACCACC